GGGGGTTGGGACTAAATTTTATATTTTTTAAATATTAATATTTCCTCCATTTTGTTCTACTGAAGCCACAAATAAAAAATATTTTTCTTTAAGAAGGAGGGGTTTAAATTTTATTTTAATTGGTATAAATCATCCATTTTTCTTTCTGGGGGTTGGAATTATATGTTTTATTTCTTAAATAATAAATTTTTCTCCATTTTTTTTAACTGAACAAATGAATACAAATTTAGGAGGAGTTTGATTTTTTTATTGGCTAACAGCAGTTTTTTTTCGTGAGAGGTTAAGGCTTATATTTTTTAAATTTTAATATTTTCTTCATTTCGTTCTTTTAAACCCACGAATGAAAAATAGTTTTTATTAAAAGGGAGGAGTTTAACTTTTAATGTAATTGTTCTTAAACATCCATTTTATCTTTTAGGGGTTGGGACTAAATTTTATATTTTTTAAAGTTTAATATTTTCTCCATTTTGTTCTATTGAACCAACAAATAGAAAAAAGGTTTCTTTAAGAAGGAGGAGTTTTAATTTTATTTTAGTTGGTCTAGAACATCCATTTTTTCTTTTGGTGGTTAGAATAGTATGCTTTAAATTTTAATATTTAATTTTTTCTCCATTTTGTTTAGCTCAACCAACAAATAGAAAAAAAAGCTTTGATTAAGAAGGAGTTTAATTTTTATTTTACTTGGTCTAGAACATTCATTTTTTCTTTTGGGGGTTGGAATTATATGTTTTATTTCTTAAATAATAAATTTTTCTCCATTTTGTTTAACTGAACCAATGAATAAAAATATAGGAGGAGTATAATTTTTTATTGGCAAATAGCAGTTTTTTGTGAGAGGTTGAGACTTATATTTTTTAAAGTTTATTATTTTTTCCATTTCGTTCTTTTGAACCCACGAATAAAGTATAGTTTTAATTAAAAGGGACCCAGTAAACGAAAACTAATTGAAATGAATTAAAAAGAATTCACAAAGAGCTTTCGTGAATCCCGCTTTGTGACAAATACGAATTGGAGCCATGATGCAATTTTCCTAAATTCGTGAAACTGTATTGAACTTCCGAACCTTCTATCCGTACCAATTCACTGGACAAGTTTTGAGCCTTTAATTTTTTTCAATTCGTTAGCACGAAATCAATGCATTCCTTGGCCATTTCTTTCGAATGCGAATTCGTTTGGACAAATTGGTACATATTGAATTAAATTCAATTAAATATATAAAGAGCTTGAGTGAATCCCGCTTTGTGACAAATACGAATTGGAGCCTACCAAAAATGTTAATTCGTTTCAATTCATTTGAATTAGTTTATTTTTACTGGGGAGGAGTTTAAATTTTAATTTAATTGGTCTTAAACATCCATTTTGTCTTTTGGGGGTTGGGACTAACTTTCATCTTCTTTAAAGTTTAATATTTTTTCCATTTTGTTCTATTGAACCAACAAATAAAAAATATTTTTCTTTAAGAAGGAGGAGTTTAAATTTTATTTCAAATCATCCACTTTTTTGGGGGGTTGGAATTATATGATTTATTTTTCAAATATTAATTTTTTCTCCATTTTGTTTAACTCAACCAACAAATAGAAAAATTGATTTTGAAAATGGGAGGAGTTTGTTTACCATTTTTATTTGTCTAAGTCGTCCATTTTTTCTTTGGGGGTTGGTAAAATGTGTATGTTATTTTTCAAATATTAATTACTTTCTCCATTTTCTTTAACTCAACCAACAAATAAAAAATTGCAGTTTGAAAATAGAAGGTGCTTATTTTTATTGGCCTGGAGACTTTTTTTCTTAATGAGTTAAGACCAAATTTAACTTTTTAAAAATTAAATATTCACTCTCTTTTTGTACTGTGAACCAACGAATAAAAAAATTGTTTTCTTAAAGTAGGAGGAGTTATTTTTTATATTCTACTAAATATAATAATAATAATAATAATAAAAAATTTTCAATCAAAATTAATTGTTCATGTTATTTATTTTTTACATGAAATTGTTTAAAAAATTTTTATTCAAATTTATTTTTCTAAGTAAAATACTGATTTTTAGCTTTGAATAATATTTATTTAAATAAATTCATTTATTTTAATAATCGAAAAAGTTTTGCTTAGTTTCTAATTTTTGATCACATTGTTTCAAAAAAACGTTTTTTAAAAGTAAAAGATATGATTTATTAGTAATATCTCTTAAATCAAAGAAAGCAATTTTTTTCAATGTTTACTATATTTACACATCATTTTGAAACTTGGCGCGTTTATCCAAATCAGTTCCTTTCGTTCCGCCGTTCAGAATATGATTGTAGTCAATCGTAGTCTGCTACAAGTATCACGCATGTTACCAATACATTGACAGGTCATCTCACAGTTCGCATATTTATCATTAATAATTGCACAATTTACGATTTAATTCAACTTAAATAATGGATAAATCGGCTATAGAATAGTTAATTTATTAATTATAAGAGCTTTTTCTGACATTTTTAGTTTTTTTGATGAACTTTTTTCCACTATTTAAAGTCTAACACTTTATTTTTTTAAATAAAACCTTAAAATAAATAAAATTAACTTCCTAAAACATATTCTGCAATTTTTATTCCTATTATTGTATAAAAATTTTCAATCTTAATAATCTTTTTTATTATGTTTCCTTTTTTTATTTTTCTGTAATAAACCATGTAATTTAAAGCCATGGACAAATGTCACTTCCGCCATCTGTCGCGCAAAACGCGCGGCGACATATCAACAGTTTATTCTAATATCGATCTTACACACACATACATCCTACACTAAAACTGACATTTTCTACTTTAAACATTAATTTCACAATAATTTAACTTTAATTTATTCTAAAAAATAGATAAATTTCATCCTAAGATATTCATTTATTCATTTTAATAGTTTTTTTTAACTGTTTTCATCGAATTTGTGAAATATTATAACGAAATACGAAGTGACGACAAAGTGACGACGAATTCGTCGTAATTTCGTAGTTCACCCATCCGCAAGGGTATGTATTTAAAGAAATTGACTTAAAGAGGATGCTAACATTGTATGTATTCTAATCAAAACTAGAATAACTAAAAACGCAATTCACTTGAGTGAAAAGAGACATGCGCTATGATTTAAAATTATTAGTATAAGAAAAAAATTAGTACACAAAATCACTACTAATTATTTAAAGAAAATAATTTTTTTTGTTCGCAAAACTTCTGAGTATCTTTGCCACAAAAATAGCTTAAATTTTATCTGCTACAATAAACAAATAAAAAAGAATGTTGAACTAAAAGTAACTTTCACGATATAAAGTGTATTTACATTTTCATTGTGTAGTTTCTTTATATATTTGCTTTTCTGTTCCTCTCTAAGGAGAATTGAGTGTACAGAAATACTAATACTGCGCGTGCAAAAAGTAGGTAAAGAGATAAGATTGACTACTTGACGATAAGTGCATACAACGTTTAGTATTACTTTCAACGTTTTTCGCACAAAGTACATTAATTTTAAATGCTCGTCAATGAAAGAAGGAAGGAGAGAATAAAAATCCTTTCTGGAATTGAGTATAAACGAAAAAGGAAAAAAGAGAAAGAGATATGTACATATTGCGAGAATTCACGGTCGGAATGCAGGAGAACCGTTTCAGTGAAAACTTGGTTTTATACACTATATATACAATATTCGTGCGCGTATCGCACATACAATCACTTTCGTCGTGTTCTCTCTTACAAACTTCTATATATATATATATATATATATATATTGTATATTCATACGCGTATTCAAGAAAATGTTACAAACGTGCTATACGTTTCAACAACTGTAACCTTTCATAATTTTCTCATCGGAAATATTTTTCTGATCCATATGTTTAGCGACCCATTTTTTTACACATACACCTAACATTTTTATGTTCCATTTTTTTAAAAATGCGAAAATTAAATGAATTTATTTCCTGTGTATTAAAAGAAAAAATTCCTTACAATTATAAAACATTATATGAATTATGTCAATTATTAATTTTTATAACACAGTTGATTAGAATTTTCAAAAACAGTAATTCCAGTAATTCTATACATTTTGTTCAATTAACTGAAAACAGAAAATATTGGAGACTATTTTCTGTTCTCAGTTGAAATGCATGGAAATGAATTGTTCAAATATTTAATATTTTATTCATGTGACTGGTGTTTATGACTCTTGCCAGAGAAAGAATATTTTCACAGTTGCCATCAGTGTCATTTCGAGTTTAATAATTTACATAATATACAGTATGAAAAATTCAAAAAATTATTTCGAATTTCAATTGCAAGAGAAATATGTCGTGATACGCGATTTTATATTTTTGGTTGTTTTTTTCGTTCACAGTTTATTAGAGAGTAAATCAAACCGATTAAAGAGTAAGTAAGTAGAGAAACCTTATTTTGGTCAGACAATTATGATTGGTACGTCTGTAGAAAGTGTTCTTTATTTGATATCGTATTTTAGATATTATACTCTTGCTGTTGAATTAAATTAAACATTTAAAGAATTTTACTTTTTTATTACTAATAAATTATATAAATTCTTTTACTCCTTTTGCATTATGTCTATATAAATATTTAACGTTTTTTTAAGAAAACAATTTTACTTCCGTTAAGCATGTAGAACATGCTTTTTAGTATGCGAGTATACGACTTGCACTTGTCCACTTTGTTTTTTTTTAATAAAATAAGTTTCCTCGCAACAATTTAAATGGAACTTTGAATTTTTTAATAACAAAAGAAAATATTCTGCAACTATAAGAATATAACATTGAATTGGTACATAAAATCAAGATCTATTATTTATTCATAGGAGATAAATATTAAAAGATAAGAAGCATAATGTAAATCATCATTTATTTTTCTTATCCGGTCTTGCGTAAGTAATTATACATATAGTGCATTTAAACGGTTAGAGTGATTTGTCTGATAAATTAAATTGGTTTGTAAGACGCTTCAAACGCTTTATATTTGACCTTTTTGTGTTGCAGCTTGCGATTGTCACCCAATTGGTGCTTCAGGAAAAACTTGCAATCAAAGCACTGGCCAATGTCCTTGTAAAGATGGTGTAACTGGTACAACGTGCAATAGGTGTGTTAGAGGTTACCAGCAAAGTAGATCCCACATCGCTCCTTGCATCAGTGAGTACAAGCAAACATTAATATTCCTGAACGTTGAAGATAATTTGCTTATGACTTTTTTAAAATTATTTATTGTAGGGTAGAACGGGGTGAAAAAGCCAAGGTGCAAAAAAGCCATTTGACTTGTATTTAAAAACTGATTTAATTTAATTTAATTATTTAACTGATTTATTTAAACCGATTTATCAGCCATTTAGAATATAAATACTATTAGGTAATACGCAACTTTGTATTCTAGTTTGGATGTTGTACCTATAGTAATATAGTTTTTATTGTAATTTTATTTTTTGAGTTGCTCTGCGTATAATATTTCGATGAACTTTTCGAACATATTATACAATTTGTTTAAGTGAACGGGTAATAAAAGTAAATGTTTGTACATAAGAAGAAAACTATACTCAAAACGTATACAATGTTAATTTTTGGAAATTAAACTTAATTTAAAATTTATTATAGCTTTTAGAAAAACTGGTTTTGGGGGTAAAAACGCCAGGGACAAAAATAATCCATTGAATATTATGTGAAATTCATTTATTTTCTACTTAAGGCTATGTCCAAGTTCTGAAATGTAAACAAACTAAAAGATTACTAAACCAGCACAAAAAATAACATTTTTACACTTTCTTCACGAAAATAGAAAATTACCCAGTGAGAAATTGCCAATAGACTTTAATCAGTCCAATATCGGTCCAATATTGGCTGCCGTGCTGGGCGCCGATTGACTCCAAATATTGGACCAATATGGGCTGATGCTTGGGATGTAACAGGTTCGCCAAGCATCGGTTGTTAATATTGGTCCAATATTGGCCGAATATTGGCAACCAAGAGAAAAAATTTTTTTAAATAAATTTTTTTAATTAAATAATAATAATAAAAAATTAATGTTTATAATTTTTGTTTAATATATTTATTTGTTTAATTATTTATTTTTAATAATTCATGTAAATAATAAATAATTTATTATTTATAAATTATAATTATTTAAAAATGCAGCAGCTATTAGGAAATAGCATTCTGCATAAAAATTCTATCATTGAAAAATCAATGATAGGCGAGAGATATCTGCGTCATTAAATAGATTCGCAGATGATAGGCAAGAGATATCCGCGTCATTAAACAGATTCGCAGATATACTCTGGTCTCGCGACGAATCTCTCGATACTTATATACACTGGAGTCGCCGTGTCAGTTGCGAGAACGGTTACAGCGTCCCTCTTGCGGCAGAGATAAGAATTGTCACGTAAACTGCTAAATCGCTTTACCGACGGCCTTATTATACCCGCAGTTTACGTGACAATTCTTATCTCTGCCGAAAGAGGGACGCTGTAACCGTTCTCGCAACTGACACGGCGACTCCAGTGTATATAAGTATCCAGAGATTCGTCGCGAGACCAGAGTATATCTGCGAATCTATTTAATGACGCGGATATCTCTTGCCTATCATTGATTTTTCAATGATAGAATTTTTTTGCAGAATGCTATTTCGATTATTTCCTAATAGTTGCTGCATTTTTAAATAATTATAATTTATAAATAATAAATTATTTATTATTTACATGAATTATTAAAAATAAATAATTAAACAAATAAATATATTAAACAAAAATTATAAACATTAATTTTTTATTATTATTATTTAATTAAAAAAAAATTTTTCCCTTGGTTGACAATATTCGGCCAATATTGGACCAATATTAACAACCGATGCTTGGCAAACCCGTTACATCCCAAGCATCAGCCCATATTGGTCCAATATTGGGAGCCTTTATTGGACCGATGATTGGTCTCTTGGCTCCCAATATTGGACCGATATTGGACCGGTAAGAAATTTCTCACTGGGTAGAGTATCAAAGTTTCGAATAAAATTGTTTTTGACTATGAGCAATAAAAAGCAATATTAGTAAAATAACTAATTAAAATGACCTGTAAAAGAGCATTTTTGACGCGTCGCGAAAAATAAACTGTTTGAGTATATCAACTGCACGGATGATGAAGAAGTTCCATGTCAGCGATTGGACCTTCAACATGTGGAAGGGTAAATTTTTCCCTTTCCTTCTTGAAATTACAAGAGAAAGGGTAAAAACTTCTTCATCGTCCGTGCGGTTGATATACACTGTTAAAAATTTCGGGAATTTTTTCAAACTGTTGCATGGGAATTTTCCTAAAACGTGTTTAAAAAAATTTTTTTTCCAAAAAAATTGTAATTTTCCTGAGTGTTTGGTAATTTTTAGATACGAATTGAAATTTTTCTAAATTCTGTTGAGAAGAGGATTTTTCTAAACGTTTGAGGGAATATTTACAAATTTTTAGGAATTTTTCTAAATCTTTAAAAGAATTTTTCCAAATTGTTGGTAATTTTTCTAGTTTATACATATATTACATGCACTGTAATGTAATTACAATGCAATTAATTGATTAACAGCATGTAATTGTTAGGTTCTCAATGGTAATTTTTTTTTGTCACGGTCACTTCTAATCAATTTCTCGTCTTTACCGATTTCAGTGTTTTATTATAATTTATTTTTAAATTATTAAAACTTTTGCACATCACTGCCCTTCTTTATAATATTTTAGATTTTCTTGCAAAATTTCAGCTCAATTTATTAAATATTTAAAGAGAAAAGTTGTTCAAAAAATTACCATTGAATTTCGAACAGTCAGATGCTGTTAATATAGTTAGTTATTTTTTACTGATTAAAATTTAAAAACTGCTAAATTAAATAGAAAAGTATTTTTCCATAAAAAATTTTCTGTGTATAAAGTATTTTTAAAAATAAATAGTGAAAATACGACTGAGTGATAGAATCATCTCTACTCTTATTTTTAAAAATATTTCTCAAACATCTTAATACATGTCATAAATCGTCGCTTGGGGGCAGCAACATGCCGACTCAGCTAAACGGTGAAAAAGATGCCGTTTCAAAATGAAAAACATGCCATTTCACGAAACCTGTGGAAACTATGCCTCGCCGCGAGAGCGCTGAGAAACATACCATCTCCAAGCGAACGGTGAAGAACATGCCTTTTCATACAACTTTTCAACTTATTTACGGTTGAAAAGGCATGTTCTTCACCGTTCGTTTAGAGAAGGTATGTTTCAGCGCTTTCGCGGCGAGGCATAGTTTCCATAGGTTTCGTGAATGGGATGTTTTTCACTTTTCTTTTTGAAACGGCATCTTTTTCACCGTTTTGATGAGTCGGCATGTTGCTGCCCCCAAGCGACGAAATCCACTCTATTATATTAAGTTAGAGAACGACCGACCGACCGACTCACATCTCTTTCTATTCTGTCTAACTATCTTTGAAAATACTTCACTCACACATGTCCAAAAAACACATACCCATGAATGTTACACATACACATAAATATCTTGTCACGCATGCGCAGTAGTATTCCATGAATGTCACGCATGCGCAGTAGTGTTCTATCAATGTTACGCATGCGCTGTAGTGTTTTATCAATGTCACACATGCACAGTAGTATTCTATCAATGTCACACATGCAAAGTAGTATTCTATCATTGTCACGCATGCGCAGTAGTGTTCTATGAATATCAGGCATGCGCAGTAGTATTATGTCAATGTCACACATGCGCAGTAGTGTTCTATTAATGTTACGCATGCGCAGTAGTGTTCTATCAATGTTACGCATGCGCAATAGTGTTCTACCAATGTTACGCATGCGCAGTAGTGTTCTATCACTGTCAGGCATGCGCAGTAGTTTTCTATTAATCTCACGCATGCGCCGTAGTGTTCTATGAATATCAGGCATGCGCGCAAAACACCCACACATATATACTCACACATATACACTAATCACATGTACATGTATACTCACACATGTACATAAATTACATACACATGTATACTGACTCATATGCAGATATAAACTCCTACATATACACAAATCACATATATAGATTTAATAAACGATTGATAATATAAATTGTTGAATTTTTTAAGGTTCGTTGATGCACGTAGTGTCTGTTGAAATTTTTTTAAATATACGTAAATACCTCACTTGCTAATGCTGCGCTGTCTGTGTTGTAAGGGAACTTATTTATTTACTTGTGTATTTACTTATTTATTTGTTTGACAGAAATTAACAATAATTTTTTAAATAGATAATCAGTGAAAAATGACTTATATTTCTGTAAGTGTAATTTTCAATTGACTTTTAGTAAAATTATTTGTTTGACAGAAATTTAGAATAATAAATAAATCACAATAAAATAACAATCAGTGAAGAATGAATGATATTTTAGTACTTTTCAACTGATTTTCAGTAAAATTCCACTGATTATAAATCCAAAGTCACTTTTTAACAATACAAAATGGCGAATCCAGGATAGCGGACGAAATGAAAGATTTAGTAAGAGAATACGTAAAAATAACATTTCGTATAATGTACAATGACAATTTTTTAAAATGTCACTTCATAATTTTTGTCTTATTACACAATGATTTTAAATAAAATAATTCATATTTTTATAAATATTAATAATTTTTTACATTTTCTAACCACTAGATAGATAGATAGATACATTTATTTTATCAAAATATAAAACAAATGAGTACCCTTGTTACATGACTTAAAGTCCAATACAAGGAGGAGCTCCGTATTCAGTATACATTCATCAATTTATTGCCATAGAGGTCGACACAGAAGATATTCTCGCAGTTTCAATATTTCAATAATCATATATATAAAATTCTTTATGTCGATTACATTTTTAGATGACATAATACTAAGCCAGAAGTCATTAGGTTCGACGTCAACTGGTACTGTAAAATATTTAGTTCGAATCCAATTATAAATAGGACATACAATTATCGTGTGGTGGAAACTATCCAGCTCTAAATTACAAAGTTCGCAAAAATTTATGTATTCTTCAGTTTTAAATTTGGAATTCTTAACAAATATATAAGTAGTGTGTCGATTAAGTACTCTAATTTGGGCAAATAAACGTTTCAGTAATTATATTTAACGAATCATTAAA